CCTGGGAGAGGTTGTGATGATCTCGCTAGCGCTTTGACGCTCGTTGTTTTCCCCTCTTTTAGGTAGAGAGTCTGGCGCACGGAGAGTCGCAGGTTGATGGGACATCTTTGTTATCCATTTAGCTATTTATTATATTTTGTAGTTATTGCAGAACTCCACATGTAGTTGATTATTTTCAGACTCTAGATTGGTATTTTATTTAGAGTTGAGAACTCTTGTGAGACTTTGTTTATTTGATTCGTTGTATTTTAGATTCAGTTCAGACTCAGAGATATATCTACCTCATTCCAGTTGGGCTCATTATTAATACTTCTTATGTTTCTTCTGTGTATATTTTTAGTATTGTTCGATTTTAATTATTTACATGTCTGTACCTTCATCTATTTATTGTTTTCACTAGAGAGATAGTGATTGTGATGGTGAAACATGTCGTAGCATGGTGGTTGGTGCTTGGCAGGTTTGACAATCCGGGTTTTACCTGGGACTGCAGCCTTGTGTGAAGCTTGGCAGGTTTGACAATCCGGGTTTTACCTGGGACTGCAGCCTTGTGTGAATCCTGGGGCGTCACATTGTGGACGTTGTAGATCTAATAGAGACCGATGGAAAACACATGTTCAATATTTTAAATGCAAGAAGTATGGTCACTACTCTTCTGATTGTTATTACAATCAAGTTGAAGAGAAGGTGAATTATGTTTAGAAAGAAGATGACGTTAATATTCTTCTATTAGCATTCAGAGGAGATGGCGACAAGGAGGATGTTTGGTATCTTGATACTGGTGCCAACAACCATTTGTGTGACAAGAGAAGTATGCTTGTCGATATGGACAAATCTATGAATGGCAAGGTCACTTTTGGAGGTTTCTCAAAGATTCTAGTGAAAGGTCGAGGTAAAATTCTTATTTACATTAAAAATAGAGAAGAAAAATTTATCACTAATGTTTATTATGTGACTAATATAAAAAGCAATATATTGTGTTTGGGATAAGCCCTTAAAAAGGGTTGTTATTTTCATACAAAAGGTCATAGTATTTTTCTTAGAGATCCAAGAGGTAGATTGATTGCAAAAGTACAAATGTCAAAGAATTGAATGTTCATGCTAAACCTTCAAAGTGGAGATGTGAAATGTTTGAAGGCATGTACCAATGATCTGGCTTGGCTATGGCACTTGAGATTTGGGCATCTTAATTTTGACAATTTGATGACATTGCTCGATAGAAGCATGCTGAAAGGGTTGCCAATAATTGATCAGCTTGAGCAACTCTATGAAGGATGTCTAAAAGGGAAGCATCATCGAGCTACTTTTTCAAAGGAGGCTTCATTTCATGCATCGAAACTGCTACAACTTGTACATACTGATGTCTGTGGGCCGATCACTCTGACTTCAACCGGTGAGACTAGGTACTTTCTTAGCTTCACTGATGATTTTTCTCGAAAGACTTGGGTTTACTTCTTAAAGAACAAATCTAAAGTGTTTTCTATATTTAAGAAGTTTAAAACTAATGTAAAAAAAGATAGTGGCTTTTATCTTAAAGCTATCAGATCAAACAGAGGTGAAGAATTCACTTCAAAAAGGAGTTTGAAGCATATTGTGAAGAACATTAAGTTTGACAATTTCTTACTACTCCTTACACTCCACAACAAAGCGTCGTTGCTGAGAGGAAGAATCACACTATTTTGAAGAAGCATGTTGAGTAGTAAAAAAGTGCCAGAAACCTTTTTTGACTAACGTTGTTTCTTGCACCGTCTCCATCATCAACTAGTGTCCAACTCAAATTCTTAAAAATATTACTCCACAAGAAGCCTGGACCGGTTACAAACCAAATGTGAGCCACTTCAAGGTGTTCGGCAGTATTGGCTATGCTCATGTTTCAGAGCAAAAGTGGAAAAAGCTCGACAAGAGGAGTATTCCATAGAGCCACATCAAGGTATTCAGCAGTAGTGGCTATGCTCATGCTCTAGAGCAGAAGAGGAATAAGCTCGACGAGAGGAATATTCATCAGCTATGATTCAAGAACCAAGGGTTACAAGATGTATGATCCGTATAGTAAGAAGTTCATTATTAGCCGAGATGTTCAATTCGACGAAGAGAAATCATGAGACTGAAGCAAGGAAGAAATTTGTAGCAGCCTGATTACTTTCATTAATGAAGAGACTAAGATCGGGAAAGATGCTCCAGCACATACTCCATCGATATCCACTCTATCATCACCGATGACATCATCACTGATCACACCTCAATCGCTCTAATCGATGACTTCTTTCGTATCATCCTCATCATCATCGAGCCCACAACCTCAAAATTTTAGGAGTTTGATGGAGTTGCATGAGGTAACTGAAAATCAAGATGATTTAACATTATTTTGCTTATTTGCTGGTTGTGAGCCCTTAGACTTTGAAGAGGTGGTTCAAAATCTAAAGTGGAGTTTAGCCATGAATGAAGAGATCAAGGCTATCGAGAAGAATGATACCTGTGAGCTTGCAACACTTCCAGAAGGCAAGAAAGCAATTGAAGTCAAATGGGTGTTCAAAGATAAGAAGAATGCGAAAGGAGAAATTGAGAGGCACAAGGCGAGATTAGTTTGTAAAGACTACAAGGAGAAGGCTGAAATTGTCTATGACGAGGTATTCTCTCCAGTAGCTCGTCTTGAAACTATAAGGCTGATTATTGCCTTAGCAACTCAGAACAAATGGCCAATCTATCAACTTAATGTGAAGTCATCATTTTTGAATGATGTTCTTAAAGAGGAGATTTATGTGGATCAACCTCTTGGTTACATCAAGTAAGGAGAAGAATCAAAGGCGTTGATGTTGAATAAAACTCTTTATGGCCTGAAACAAGCACAAAAAACTTGGAATAGAAGAATTGATGAATACTTTCAAGCTCATAATCATTCTAACTGTCCTTATAAGCATGCCTTATATACTAAGGTAAATGAAGTTGGAGATATTCTTACTCTATGCTTGTACGCAGATGATTTAATCTTTATAGGCAATAATCCACATATGTTTGAGGAGTTCAAAATCTCCATGGTTTGTGAGTTCAAGATGACAAACATCGGACTCATGTCTTATTATCTTGACATCGAGGTGAAGCAAAGCCAAGATGGAATTTTTATCTCTCAGGAGGGATATACAAAGACATTTCTTGATAAGTTTGATATGAAGGATAGCAATCATGTAAGTACTCCTGTTAAATGTGGAGTCAAGTTGTCTAAGAAACATGGTGGAAGTAAAGTTGATGCAACTTATTTCAAAAGTTTGGTCGATAGTCTTCACTACCTAACTTGCACAAGGCCGGATATTCTCTATAGTGTTGGGCTCGTGAGCAGATACATGGAAAGTTCGAAATCTTCACACTTGTTGGTAGCAAAGAAGATTCTCCGGTACATCAAAGGTACAATAGATTTCAGTTTATTTTATTCAAGTTCTAACAACTTTGAACTTGTTGCATACACTGATAGAGATTGGGCCGGAGATATTGATGGTCGAAAGAGTACAACTAGTAAACTTTCTTTATCGGCAATACTTCTTTTACTTGGTCTTCAAAGAAGCAGTCGATAGTCACTCTTTCAACTTGTAAAGCCGAATATGTTGCTGCATCATCGGGTGTCACTCATGCACTTTGGTTGAGAAACTTACTCTAAGATCTTTAGTTTGGACAAGAAGAGCTGACCAAAATTTGTATTGACAACAAGTCGGCTATTGCACTTTCAAAAAATCAAGTGTTTCATGAAAGTAGCAAACATATCGATACTTGATATCATTTTATTCGCGATGCAAGTAAAGAACAAGGAAGTTGAGGTTGAGTTTGTGAAATCCCATGATCAGGTGGCTAACATATTTACCAAGCCATTAAAGCATGACATGTTTACTTTATTGTGCGACAAGCTTGGCATGATGGAAGGATCAAGTTTAAGGGAGAATGTTGAAAATAAACTTGATTGAATTACCTTGGGAATTGAGAAGATCATTTAGTTGTTTGAGGAGTAAAATGCATGAATATGTAGATGCATGAATGTTGTTGGGAATTTCAAGGGTCTTTGTTAGGAAATCTTTGAGTCATTGTAGTAGTATATATATGTGTGGTTTATAAATTAAAAGAAGTCAAGCGAAGAAGAAAGAAAAATCAATAGAATAATGTTAACCTCTTTCAAGTTATTTATCTTGGGCAAAATATTGTTATCAGTTAAGAGAGGAAGTAAAAGGTGATTACAATAATAAGGCATTTTGGAAGGCGTACTAACATATGACAATAAGGGAAGCAACAGGACACTGTGTATCCGTCAGCTCACTTCTGTGCAATTTGTACAAACTCTCACTACAACAAATTGCACTTTTCTCAACGCTTATTCCCGACGCATGGTTAAAAACGTCGGCAAAAATTATGTTTTTCCCAACGCTTTTAATTAGCGTCGGCAAAAAATATATTTTTCCCGACGTTTATAATTAGCGTCGCTAAACGTGTATATTATTAGCGACGTTTTAACTTAGCGTCGGTAAAAGTTATGGATTTCCCGACGTTTTTTTATTTTCGTAGGCAAAAGTATAGTTTTTTAGTGACGTTTTAGGATTAGCGTCGCTAATAGTATGTATTTATCGTGACGTATTAGGCTAACGTCGCTAAAAGTGTTTTTTTCCCGACGTATCTGCTTGGCGTCGCTAAAAATGTATTTTTTACGACGCTTCTTCACTTGTCCGCTTCGCCAAAACCCACCGCCCCGCCCCGGAATTTTCCAACTCGTATAAGGAGGGAAAATTTCCCCCTTTTATTTTCACGAAGAACCAAAACCCCCAACCCCGCTCTCTCTCTCGTCAGAAAATCACCCCCAAACCCGTGCTTCTTCTCCGAAGTTCACCGCCTTCGTCGAAGCTTACCGCCGCCGTCGTCGGAGATCTCCGCCTCCGTCGAATTTCACTGCCGCCTCCGTCGGATCAGCAGCATTAGCTTCAAGAATCCCCGCCGTCTTCTCCTCCTCCCTCCGATCAACCCCCCACCGATCTCACCTCCGACTCCCTTCAAGAATCTCCCTCCACCGTCCGATCTCGCTCCGAACCCGAACGCTAACCCTAGCCTCCGCCGCAGGCTCCGATCAAGCTCCGATGGTATTTATACTATTCTCTTTTTAATTCGTTAAATTGGAGGCGTTCTGTAAATAAATTGCTGTTTTTAATATATCATAGGGCTCGCAATCTCAATCGTTCTTTAGATCGGCGCTCTCGAGCATGGAGAAAGTTTACTTGACTAGGAATCCGACTGCAAAATCTGTCCTTGAATCTGTGAGCTCGTCTGATGGCAGTCCTGTGTGTTACGATCACTTCGCTTTCCGAACATTTGGGGTAAATGATGCAATTTTGTTTTTTTCCCCGCTTGATTCTATTACTGTTATACTATGTATTTTTTTTCTAAAATTTGAAGGTAGATGGCCATGGGATTGATTCCATTGCGTCATTCTTCTTGGATTTTGGTTATACTCAACGAGATGAACTGAGGTTTTTCCAGCGAAAAAAGCTGAGAGCTTTGTGGTTTGCTGCTCCTGAGACTGAGTACAGTAACAAATGTAGCTTGCCTTTGCCTAGGATTTTTATATCGGAGCTTCTTGTGGATGAGTTGAATTCTCAAAGTCAGGTACTTACTCTCAACAAGTGCAGATTGTTTGCAATTTCAGTTTCTAATTTCCTATTTTTCTGTTCAATAATGGCAATTACTTATGCATGCAGGAAATAATTAGAAAATATGTTAAGATTTCTGGAAATGGAAATAAATATGCGGCCCTGGCAAGCACTTTGGGACATTTAACTTGGGAGAAACCAATATTTTCTGATTATCAACAGCTAGCAAGGTAACCCTTCCCACAGTCATCTTGTATTTGCTGTGTGATTACGAAGTAGATTGGAGAAAGCTGTACAATCAAGTGCAAGATCTTAAAGGTGAACTTCCCAACATTTAAATGATAAGGCGTTAGGTTATTTACCCATTTTTAGTACTAACTTCTTTTTGAAATCATTAGGAAGTATTAGGGTATACTGTCAAGTTAGACCCTTTCTACCGGGGCAATTGAGTAGTAACACTGTCAGTTGTATTGAAGATGGAAGTACTACAATTATCAACCCTTCAAAATATGGCAAAGAAGGGCACAGGTCTTTTAACTTCAATAAAGTGTTTGGTCCATCTGCATCCCAAGGTAAAAGATGCCTACTACTATTTCAACTTCAGTTCTTCTGAGGATAATAAGTTGTTAATTAATGCCATCACAACTTGTTTATACTGCAGAGGAGGTTTTCTTGGACACCCAACCTTTAATTCGCTCAGTTCTTGATGGCTCCAACGTATGCATATTTGCTTACGGACAAACTGGATCAGGAAAAACCTATACTATGGTAGGAAAAACGTGTAATTTTATTTTAAGAATGTCATGTTTGCAACATAAATAAACGTGTAATTTTCTTGGACAGTTGCTGGAATGTTTTTGAAGTATCTGTGCATCAGAGCACATACATATTGATATTTGTTTATTTATTTGGTTTTGGGACTATTGCTTTATTTATGTTCTTGTATTCCTGGACCTTCCTTCATGTTTGAGGGTGAATGATTTTTGCCACCCTAAAGTATAGTAATTTGTTTCCCAATGTCCATCATCAAGTTGTTATTCTGATAAAGAAAATCCATTTTTGTCTATTTAGAGAGCTGTGCAAGGATCTCTTTAAGAAATGGTCGTCCCTTGACAGTTCTTGCTTCTCCCTTGAGACTGTCTCTGGTGGTATTACCAATCAATGTAAGCTTTTTTATTCCATATATTACTATTTCTTTTCGACAGTTCGACCTTTTTGATGATAATATCATTCATGTACTCTAAAATTTTATGTTACATCAAGCAAAAATTTTATTGACCTCTTATTTTGGATTATAATTTTTCAAATTTTGTTTGAATGTTTTGACCATATCTCTGTGCTTTCTAATGTTTCCACAGTGGCTTTCTGGATCTCTAATTGCATTTTCCTTTGGTTCACATGTTGCATGCACATATCTGTGGTGCAAAATATTTTATTGAATCACTCACTTTAATGATAGCTCATTGTTAATTCTTGCAGTGTTGAAGGTCTTTGTGACAGAAGCCAATGACCATGATGTGGTTTTGACTTGGTGATTGATCGTGAGCGAGAGCTGCAGGTGGGTCCTTGCAATTTATTTCTTCAAAAGTTTGATGTGAGAAATCTACAAATTTCATACTAAGACTTTTTTACTTGTGTATTGTTGATTCTGTTGCAGTATATGTGACTGTTCTTGTGAACTATGATCATTTTTTATGATACATGCTTATTTTTTCTGTTTATTTTTCCTAAACAATAATTTATTAATCATCTATTTTCTTCCTATAAGTAAAATTGTATTGGAGTGATATGAGAAAAAGACATGTAGGAAGTAATATTCTGTTTTATATTTTATCTGCTATTTTCATATGAGAAAAAGACCCTGTGAATCTCAAGATTTTACCGCTTTGACTGACATCACTACAACAAATTACACTTTTCCCAACGCTTATTCCCGACGCATGGTTAAATACGTCGCATATTTGAAAATAGCCTGAATGATAATCCTGATCATCAGTTAACTTGATTGGATTTTGATGTGTAATTGTATGCACTTTTTATTTGGTGATTTAACTCTAAATGAAGTCTGGAGCATTAATTGTATTGCAAAAACCCTTGATGTGAAATACTCAAGTTTGTCGGGTCTTAGACACAGAGTCAGCGGAAGAGTATCACTCTGCTTGTGAGCACTCTATACGTGCACTTTTTCTAGCTGGCAAATGCATTTCATCTGATAGTAGTCTGGTATGGGAATTTTGTGAGAAGACCTTGATAGAGTGCTTGCGGTCCTATTAAAAGGTAATGAAGAGGTACCTAATTGTTGCATGCCAAACAGAAAACTTCTCCCCTCTTTATTTTGCAGACAAGGTGATAATTAGTGAAATTGCTATTACGTCTGATAATTACTGAATGTTGAACTAGATTGTTGCTCTTGTTTTTCTACTAAGTATATGATGTTATGATGAGTTTATACTTGCTAGTTTAAAACAATGATAATGATATCTGAAAAGACTAGGAAAAGTGGAAGAAGGCACCAAAATCAGTTATTGAGCTACAGTCTACAAGGATTATGTCATGATCCTTGTGGCACTGCGATTATTTTTTACTAGTTTTGGTCTATACATCTTCTGAAGGTCCACCTTGTTATCACTAGAATTTTTGAATCATAATTTTTTTTACCTTTGCGATTAGTGGTGGAATTGTTCATTTAAAATCATCTATATTCAAGTGTTTTTCTGATTTATGATATCAACGTAGATACCAGTTTTTTGTGATTTATTTATAGAACATGGTATATCATTCAAAAAGTTTGAGTGTAAATCTCCTTTTTGTTGCGTATATTTTTACTCTTGTTTTACTTTGCTACCTGATTTAGCATTAAGTTTATGTTAGTAAATATGATTGAGTTTTGAAAATTGAAACTATTTGAATTGAAATGTAGGTGATTGTTGTAGTTTACCTTTTTGTTGTGTATAAATGTAGGTGATTGAGCTTTGATATATTTTTCTACTGGTTCTGTTTAGTTGGTGCATGCTCCATCCTCTGTTGGTTCTGTTTAGTCAAATATTGGTATTGGAGGATTGTACATGATGTGTCTACTTGTTTCTTTTATGAAGTTTAGTGTAGGCAATTGAGAGATTCAGTTTTTTGTGCTGATTTTGGATCCCAAACTAATCCACATTTTAAACTTTTAGAATTTATGTTATTGCAAAATTTCAAACTTCCTGCTTGTTAGTAATGACAATTTCAAACTTTTAGAATTTCAAACTTCCTTCCCAAGAGGCTCCTTCATTTTTTTTTGTTTGAAGAACTATGTATAAAAAAATCCTTTATTTAATTTCCTGAAGAGAATTGCGTTCTAATAGCTTCCTTTTACCTTTTCTAGTTGAGCCAATCCATGAGTACCATAGCAGTAGCATTTGACACAGGGAGATCAACCCTGAATTCAAGCGCACCCCTTTTTTCAACCCAGCAGCATATCGACAGGTAGAGGACTTTTCACTTGAATGGTGGGAGGTTGTGAAGACGGCTTCATGGCAAATATTAGTGTCCAAAAAAACCTATCACTTGTGACTCAGATGAGAACTGTAGTATTTAGCTACAAATTAACTAAAGGAAAATACGTCGATTGCAAGAGGTGTGAGAATACTGGATATCAAATTGTAGAGAAACTAAGGTATATGTATTTTAGGTACTCAAACTGCAATTGAACTTTCACAATAGACCAATGATTGGCCAATGTACCTACATCATTGTATACTTAGATCTGCAACTAATTTTTATTACCAACTGGCCATCATATAATTAGAAATCCTAAAATGGTGTATTTGAAATCGTGTCTATAGGATTTACAGGTATTTGCATCAAAGATCTTTTGTGAAATTTTTACACTCGCATTCACGGCTATTTTTTGATGCTGCTTTATTCTTATTATGCAGGAAAATGGATTTGATCTTGGAAGCAGAGAGAAACTTGTCATGAGGTTACAAGCAAACTGGAATATTTAAACAGTTGTTTTCTTCTTTTTTTTCTTTCACATTTTCCTCTCTTTCCATTGTGTTTCTTTTTTCCCTTCATGGATTACAAGCAAACTGGAATATGTGAATAGACCTTTGAGTGTTGACTTGGAAATAGAAATGAATGTATCTATTTTGCAATGAGAGCAAATTCTTTCTTTATCTTAATTTGCAACTTGTTTGGAGTATAATTTGATGTCTAGTTTCTTTGTTGATGTAAATGAGAGTAAATTTTTTGTGGATGTTCAGGTTCAGTGTAGGCTAAAAAGCGCCACTAAAATTAATACTTTTGTCGACGTTATATTGCGTCGCAAAAAAAAAAATCTTTTAGTGACGCTATTTTGTGTTGCCAAAGATATAGTTTTTAGCGACGCTTTATTTTGCGTCGCTAAAAGCTACACTTTTGCCGACGCTAACTTGCGTCGCTAAAAGTATAATTTTTAGCGACGAACAGTTTTGCGTCACTAAAAGCTATACTTTTGCCGACGCATTAGCTTTTTCCGACGCTGCATGCGTCGCCAAAAGTACAAGTTTTACCGACGCACTTTTGCATATGAAAAAATTATGCATACTTTTGCCGACGCAAAATACTATGCGTCGCTAAAAGATGTACTTTTCCCGACGCATGAAGCGTCGCCAAAAGTGTTGACTTTTACCGACGCAGTGTGTTTGCGTCGCCAAATATTTTCCTTGACGCACTTTTGGTGACGCGTTAGCGACGCTGCATTTTGCGTCGGGAAAGATTTTTCCTGACGTTTTTTAAACTTTTGCCGACGTTTTTGTTTCGTCGGCAATGATGTATTTTGTTGTAGTGTCTTGCAACAACTTATTAATATAAGATGGAATAATTGTTACCCTTCTCCAAATTTAATCTAAGATCAA